AAACTGTATAATAGCATCTAATCGTGTAATGAAAATTAAAAGCTGTGTGTCCTACCTCATAAAATATATACTTTCTGTCCTCTATCCAAGCTGTGTAAAAATTTGGAAGCAAAGTAGAGAAAAAATTCAGGCGAAGACTTGAAATATAAAACATATAAACACCAATATCTAAAACACATCCCAAGGAAATAAATAACATTGAATTATTTACAACTCGCTTTAAAAATGTTAAGATAAAACATCCTTGAATATTTCTAGCCCCAATCGATGGAAAGATATCTGATTCCCTCCGCCATGAGCCCTTACCCCGCAATCCTAATCGGCTTTCGAAATTACATGGTAAACCTTTTATTTGCTCCGGTATACTTGGTCCAGCAATCGAGCAATTCACGTCGATTTACAGGATACCGTGATCTCCGATTGATCCTTAGGTTACGGGAGCCCAAGTAATCGCATCCGTGTATCAGTTTCCCCGTTCACTTCGCGCTGTCTTTCATCCTTTCCGAACTTCGTTTCACCGTGATGAAGCAGAATAATGCACGCGGTGCAATGCCGCAGGAAAGCGCCAAGTCAGAAGTCTCGAGTGTTTGCAAGACTCGAAAAATGGGTCGATTGAAGCTTGCGAGATCCACGCGTCTAACGAGAGTGGCAGCGTGATTGTGTTCCGGTTCCCGGTCGAATCGGAGGGAAAAAAAAAATTCGCCAGTTTCCTCGGACCGATTGCTCGATAAATCCTCGAGATCTAATCGAGATACCGCGGATCGATGGGACTCGTTAACCCGTTGTACCTGCCACGTTAGGTTTGACTTCCTCGAAAACGTCCTGCGATAGGAATCGTTGGCAAACATCAATGGTGACATGTAAATTTGAAGGTAAATTTTAACAAATATGAATTTGTATTTGTATGTACAGTGATGGGGAAAATTTCTAAATAATTGTTGAAATCGGAATTTAGGCTGGTGCTTTAACCTCTGGAGGGACGAATAATTCTGTTAGAAATCAATAAAAATTCAAGTTAATATTTATTTACATCTATCAATCTCATGGCGATGTTGCTGTATCGAAAACGAAGAAGAAACTTAACTGTCCAAGTTAACAGAAGCCTCATCTATACATCTTTGAATACGGAAACTTTCAACGAACTAATAACGACATGGAAGTAGAAAATACATGAAAGAAAACTCGATTCAAGTTGGATGTCTTTTCAACAGGATACGTTGGAGTGGATTGTCAAGTGCTATAACATTGCGCAGAAAAGTTATGGCATTACACAGTACGAAGCCGTGATAAAAATTGAAAGATCGATCGATATTTTGAGCGAAATGTACGCGATGGAAATAGCACAACAAAAATGTCTCGCTACTAAAATTTATTCTTCACTCTTATAGAAATACAGGAATTTTAGAAGAAAAGTGAGAATTTCTTTACATATAGTTGTGAACTCGCGATATTTTTTAAGAAAATTTATGATGAATATTGTCCACTGGGGCAACAACGTGTCTCGTTGTACTTGTCTGATCAGAGACTGGCACTATTCCACTGGCCGAGCTTAGACCTAGCTACTCTACTTGTCTGACTAATGACTGCTATTGTTCTACTTGAAGAATCAAGATGCACGTGATCGACCTGTTTGGTCAGGAATATCCCCTACCTGACCTAATTTATTTTTTTCAAAATGGAAGAATCTTACTCTCCCACATCTTCGATAATATTGACAAAAGCTACAAAGGATTTCTTTTATTTCTTTCTCCATAAATGCCATTCGAACTAACACCATTTCTATTTGTTAAAGCGAGCCAATACTTGCACCAGAAACAGACTTTCGTCAGAATTTGGTGTTCGGTAGCTCTCAACCGTATCAATTCGCGAATCGAGGCGACATCGCAGGAAGTCATACGTCTGGAAGGAACAATCACGACGTGTTTGAACGAAAGATTTAAAACGGTGGCAGCCCGAAAAACGCGAAGGTCGGCAAGGAGGAATTGGCTAGCGACGGAATTTTTCGGGAATCGATTCGCTTGGTCGTTTAAGTATTCGTACACGCTAGTCACGGCGGTTCGGGCATGTCACGTAAAAGAGAAAGAAATAGAGGACACGTAGAAATCGAGGCGCTGGAAGACTGAAGCCCGATCACGGCCTGGTACCAATGTCAATACGACGTATAACGATTTTCATATCCGACGGAAAAGGCGAACCGAGGAACCAGAACGCCTCCTCTTTCGGTATCCAGGACACGCTTTCGACAGCCCCAACCGGAATTCCCGATCAGTTTTCCATCCCTCTGTCCATCCCCCGCCGTTTCAGGGCAACAATAAAATTTCCGCGACAGAAGCCAAAGAGAAAAAATCAAATGGCTATAGACAAACGTATGGGGAACGATGAGGAATTGGAAGAAAAAGCTAAGAATGGATGTGCTTTATTCGCTTCTTGGCTCTTTCGTCCTGATCGTTACGCTTGGAGACGCGATAAGGCGTGTCTTGAGCAGCGTAAAATTGAAATGAGAATTTTTAATTACAGTTAGGTTCGAAGGGATACCGTAGGTTCGCTAATGTCCCCACAGTGTAATTTCTGCAGGAATCTAGGCTGATGTTAATCCTGGGGCTTTGCGATGAATGGCGTTCGGGGTTTGATTTTTCTTTGTAGAGAAAGTTAACGTTGAATAGATTGTTTTATTGAGGGAAGATTGATTCTTAACTCTTTGGTGGTGGGTGAGTTAAAAACTGTCTAACTTAGTTTCGTATGCGTAGGTGGACATCTTTGTTATAGTGACTTTCATAGAAAAATCTCACTTTGTACTTCAACTCAGATCTATCAATCTATCAAAAGTTAGCATTGAATAGATTGTTTCAGGAAGAGAGGATTGCCTCGTTCTTTAATTCTTTGGGTGAGTTGAATGTTGTTTGGCTTAGTTTCCTATGCTCAGTATGACATCTTTCCATAAACCCTAATCTTTAAATTCTTTAAAATCTAAAATTTTATGTAATACCTCGGCTCAGAGCTGATGCAACAAATAATCGACGTAGCAGAGGTTACATTATTTCCAAATAACAAACAGTCTACGCCAAGCAGCGATGGTCCGCCCATCGATACGTTCAAAAATAACAAAACGAGATACACGCGGACTCAAGAATTTTATATAACACAGAAAAACATTCCGAAACGGAAATCAAAATACAGGAACAGCTGAAACACAAACGAACGCGAGATAGAGCTAACTGAAATCGGAATGTAAATAGAGGGGGAGAAAAAAGTATTCGAAAAGTAATCGAATGGGAACAGGAAACGAAAGCAGAGAGATCCAGTTGGGCCATCGTGTCGCCAAAAAAAAAAGGAAGTCGGAATTGTTTACGTTTCGATTGTTGAAATTATTTTGAGAATGATCTAGAAACAGGAGTCGTGGCACATTTGCTTCGTTGTTTGCGATCAAACAGTTTGATATTTGAGGATTTCCCTATTCAATTCTTCATGAATGATACTAATGATTGATGAATGGCATTATTGAGCTTTCAAAATTCATATAGCATTAGACCTGTGATATGGAACTTGCGTTCACACTGTATTCTTTCATCCTGATAGAGTTCACCTAATTCATTTCAATATTAACAATAAGCACATGAAATATCAATATATTTCATTAGAACATAAATTCTGTTGTGCTGGTAAGAGACATTACCCCTTGCTGCCTCTAATATTTCTGACATTAATTCTGTACGTTTAAAATAAATGTTGTTATTACAATAAAAATTTGTTTGACACTGTCATTAGTTTTCTCACGATGTTCAACTACGTTTAGTTTTGCAAGTTTGTGCACCACGTACTCGGCCAGATCTTCAAGAACGTCGAGCTAGCACATTCCGTGCGAATCATCCGTGGGAACTAGACAAATTTCTACGCGTTACACGTATTTATTGTTTTCCAATGCGCTGCACGCGATCGATGCTTGCAGCCGAAGAAATATCGCGCTTCACAGACAGCCTGACATGAAACTCGTGCTCTGGCCTGTTTCGTGTCTTATTTCTCCATCCACGGGCCGCGAGGGGCAATAAATTCGATAACGCACATTCCAGGGTAACTTTCCGTGACTGGTTTCACGTAACCGTAAAATATGAGAGTCACTTATGGCGTGCTCCAACCGGCTGTGGAATTTGTTTATAGGAAATGCGGGAGCGTTGAACCGTGGCTCTTTACGACGATGACAATGGGATGCATGAAGAATGTTTAATAAACCTTCGAGGTGGGATTCGTGTGCATAGGCTGTTGTACTACGCTGCAGGGAATGAATAAAACAGGTGTTTTATTTAGACTTTGTTATCAGGGCCGGCGTGACCTTTTGCGAGGTCCAGTTCAAACATTTTGAGGGGGCTGAATTCACATTCAAATCCTACACTTGAATTTTACAACGAGGAATTATTTATTTACAAATGCTATATATTTTTTATAAGATGAATATTAAACAATAATACTTTGTGATGATTTTTGTCACTCCTTTCAATTTAATCATCGCTACTAAAAAAATGTCTCGTATCTCAGCAAAAATTGCTTCCATTTGTTAATGGTATCATCGGTCTGTAAAAAGTTAATCAAAATCGGTACCTTTTAATTCAGTAATTTTCGTAGACCGCGAGGCCTTTTAAAACGCGGGGAACCTGCCTTGCCCTATTTGTTATAATAATAAAGAAAGTATTACAATGCAATTCAGACATAATACAGGCCTCGTAAATATTGTGAATATTGTAAATATTGTTGCTCGAACGAATGCATTAGTTCGTATTAAAATATAATCTTAAAGTATAAGTACATTAAAATATGTACGGGATACAAGGAGATTAAGCCTGAATATTCGAAACATAAAATCACAACTACATATTAAAATAATAATAATAGGAAAACTAAGTCTTTACTATTGCACCACTCCATCTAGCTATCTTTGAATAAAAATAAGTAATAATTCTCCACTACTAATACACCTAAAACCGACCGGATATTTTCATTTGTCGCAGATTTACCACTGATAACGGATTCAGTATCGTCGAAAGCAACGACGGCGGCGAAGCGCTCGGTACCGACGGACGCGCCGATGCTGTACTACATATTCGATGCCCACAGTACGCTGAACAAACACCAGCATCATCACGATCATCGGTGGGGTCCTCATTTCGAGGGCGAGGGGAAGAATATGACCGTGCAAGCTGGCGGAAGCGCCATCCTCGACTGCAGGATATCCTTGCTGCAAGACAAAACCGTGAGTTTCACTTTTCTCGTGGGCACCATTTCTATCCGCTTATTCGCACTCGTCTCCACGAAATCTTCCAGGGAAATTAGAAATGCGATAACTCACAATTAATTCCGCGCCGTGCTGAACTCCGTTGCCCCGAGGATAATCAATTATAATTTACTTTAATTAATTTCTTTGCGCATGCCTGTCTCGTTTCGCAGCGATTCTTTTGGAAGGAAAATGACGCGTGCCTGTTACTGTCAGAACTGGGTGCTACTTTTCGGGCTACTTTTCATTTCCGACCTGATTTCGCGCGGAACACGAGGTGTATCGTTGATGATGAATTTAATAGGTGTCTTCTTTAAGAGTGGTACAAGCGTTTTGAAGAATTTAATAAATACTTGAGTAGATTGACACACAATATAACAGATTATAACACGATATAACACAACATCTTGCAATAGAACAAAATACAATGAAATCTGATAAAAAGCATCTCGTAAGCGCAGAATAAAATAAAATATTTCCATACAATGCTTTATTTTCAAAAAAATCGAGTTTGAAAATGTCAAGTACAAATATGCATACAGTAATTCTTGCCAGTCTTCTATTTCTACTCGTCTATATTAATTCATATCAGCCATTTCTCTTTGTTCGTTGTAAAGTATTTAATTCTATCATTCTCAATGCTAATTTTTCATTCCAATTTGGCTATTCGAGATCCTATATAGACAAGAATTCTTCCCGCGTGTAGTATCCACTCGTTAAAAATTTGTTGGAAAGGCGTACCACCCTCTGCATTAAATTCTTCCAACGTGTTTCATCGACGACCTCGAGTTCGCGGTCCACGCGCGTGCACTTGCTCCGAGGGGGTGAACTACGACTGATAAATCTGGTACTTTAAGGGACTTAGCCGCGGCGATATTCAACGGTTATGATCTTTTCGGGGAAATTTACTCGAAACACCGAAATGTTGACCGAACTCCGCGGAAACTTATCCAGCGGGAGTAGCTCCGTATATTCCGAAAGTGATGCACTTTGCTGGATCCTGTTCTCTCCTGCCTTCGCGTAATACTAAGCTATTAATCCCGTGTCTGTCGCTATCACTGCTAACGACGATGTCGTGTAAACCGATTATCCGTGCTATGATTATGTTGAAAACGCACGGCTGGGCTGAAAGCAACGTTTATTGCTGTATATTATTTCCGATCGCGAGGCAATGTTAGATTTGATAGATTTGTGGTTGGAGAAGGATAGTGGTCAATGAAGGTTAGAAGTGCTAAAATTAGGCTCCTGACTCCTGGTCGTTTTGCAGAATATTTTAATCGTTTTCGTACTATACATAGATGGGAAGTTGAGTAGAAAGTCTAAGGTTAGGAGTAAGGAAAGCTAAACAAGTGACTGAAATTTGACTGAAAAATACTTTTTATAGTTCGAGTGATTCATATTAAAGAAAGTTCAAGGTTGATAATTAGTTTGTTAACTGTGGATATTGACTAATAATTGAGCCGTTCGACGATATAATATACATTGTTTTTTTTTTTAAATTCCCTTTATAATATAAATACAGATGTAGCTTTCATCTAGCGGTGTATAAAATTAATGGTAAAGAATCACCAAATAAATAATCGTCAGTAATGTTACAATTTTTATGCGACTGGTGGAGTCAATCGAGAGTGATATCTATTTAAAAAGTTTAATCCAAATTTCTCTCGACTCGCAAAATACCAGAGTACATATTACTTCGAAAAATAGTGGAATCAATTTTTGGTAGTATTAAAATTGATCGGTGTTATTCAAGTTATGTTGTATTGGATTCCTTGCGTTCCAACTGAAAAATAGCAACGGCATTCGCGATCGATGGCGATCACACGGTTCGTTGATAACCGTCCATACGCTCCAATCTCTGTTGGCTAGATAATAGTAGGTTGGATATGTATGTTGAAGATGTACGATATCGTGTGCACTTAATGGGGATCGAGGGAAACACCATCCAATTCCAGTTACGTGGATAAACTACGGATTTCAGACTCCTGTTTATCCTTGTACCGATCGATCCGTCGATTCGCCGTGAATTTGGACATAACGAGCAGACTATGCGCTTCACTCCCTCGTGTTCGATACCACATTAGGGCCTCTATGTCATTTCCACTGACAGATGAACGAGAATCAGCGATAGTTGCTCAGAAAAAATCTATAGAAAAATTGTTTGATAATCTTGTAGAGATTAAGTTTCATATAAAATAGTTATGGAAAATGTTTTGCCATTGAAGGATAACATTCAGGGATTTCTTATGTTCTACAATCCACTTTGCTGAATAATAAATCATTTAATAAAGCAATATGATATTCTGACTTATATATAAATATAGTCATATCTAAGTATTTGTAAGATGAAAGGTAAACTTGAATTAATAACACAAACAAAACCCAGGCAAGAGTAAGCTAGATAAAAAGGACAAGGTAATAGAAGACTTCTTTATTTGCAGTAAATGACTTATACGTAATAACTTATATGTAAATATAGTCATATCTAAGTATTTGTAAGATGAAAGGTAAACTTGAATTAATAACACAAACAAAACCCATGCAAGAGTAAGCTAGATAAAAAGAACAAAGTAATAGAAGACTTGTAAAGTAAATGAAAAATTATACTAAATTTAAACAACATTTAATGGTTTGATAAAAAGACAGTTAAAGGAGTTCGGAGTACAAGGGGAGTTCGCGAGTGTCTATTGTCTGTCAGGATACTTGAAAAGTTACATCTCAGGAACAACACACGAAAGTGATACGATTCATTTGTTGACAGGTGTCCTGGGTACGAAGACAGGATAACGGCGAGAAGGTAAACTTGCTGACGGTGGGTCAACAAACATATATAGGGGATCCACGGTATACAGTGAAGTTCCAGTACCCAGACAACTGGCGTCTACAAATTAAACCAGTGAACAGTAGCGATGAGGGCCAGTACGAGTGCCAAGTCAGCACTCATCCGCCCAAGCATATTCACGTGAATCTCCACATCAACGGTGAGTATTATACCACCTCGTACGAATCACGTTTATGGAGGTGGAAAGCGAACGTCGTATCATGTATACCTGAACGAGAAGATATAGAGAGATATAGATTGAAGTTTGACCGAACGTATTTTTGGAACCTCTTCAACTCCTTATAACTTTCTTTCAGCCAGAACCTTTGTATAACAACTTGAATCAGTTATTTTTGAAACCTTTTCAACCCCTTCAGCCTTTTATAACTGATACAGTCAGAACCTCTACCCAGCAATTTAAAAGAGATATTTTTAGAACCATTTCAACCTCAAATTCAACTCTCTAAAAGTGTTCTGTACCTAAAACATCACCCATATCACAAAAGAATAAAGAATGAACCAGTGGCCGAAACCTGAAACATAAATATACCCTCGGGAATGGTATTATATGTTCGTGCAGCTTGACCATGGCCATCCTTCCGCCCCACATCCATTTCTCCCCCAAACCCCCGTGTCCCGCCCCATATTTGCCCGGAATCACTCATTTATTCTGTCAACTTCGTTAACCGTGTTTGCAAGTCCGCTCACGCAGCCATCGATGCGACTCAATTTATTTTCGTTCGCATATTAACGACCGCTCGCCGTCGACAATTCTCCTCGAGGTCCCCGTCGACGAAAACACTCGATCGGAATTTCCATCTTTTATTTTTGCGCGCGACGGGTACCCGCGCGGCGTTCCCAATGAGATGCGCGAAACTCTGATAAAAAGGGGGTCATTTCGCTGCTACCCTCAAATGATAACACGACGCGGAACAAGCCAAGGAACAGTAAATTGTCACGCGGACGAAATCCTTTAGAATTTTTGTCGAGATTCAGGGTTTCTACAACAACGAGAAGAGGTAAGGAAAGTGTCGAATTATTTATTTTGTTATTTACTCAAGTCGAATTATTAGATTGTGAAATTATCGCAACTACAGAGGGTTCATTGTTAACTGTGATTGGCAATTGATGATTTTAAATGTTTTTACTACAGAAAGGTGATTTTTCGTAATTATAGAATAGGGGTACGTTTAACGACACATTTGTTTAATAGTTATTTCTCAGTTGCAGTGAATTATTTGGTGACTTGGAATATAATTACTGCAGGCAGTAGCTTTCGTAATTACAGAAAACAGGGGTTAGAATTAATAATGAATGGTTAATTGTCAATTATTAGGTCGAACTCATATTGATAAACTCCGTAATGATATCATACAAATATTAACTATAGCCAGTGAAACTTTTGCTTTCATTAAGTTACTCTACTACAATTTATTCTTTACACTTTTCACTTTTGCACTTTGCACATTTGCACTTTACACTTTACACTTTACACTTTGCACTTTTTATATCTAAAGATCTTATTCCAAGTTCGCAGCCATTAGCTCTCGGTATTATTCGCGACGAAGGATTGTTCGTCACGAATAATACCGATTACCAGGTCTCACCACGTGGAGGTTGCTGCGACCGGAGACCCGGAGATAAAAGGAATCAAAGTTCCTTCGATCTCCCCCTATATAGAGTATACATACATAGATGCATACTCTACATAGAGTCAACGAGCTTAATACTAAGTACGAAACAATGGAAATCAATGAAAACAAAGTCCCTTTGATTTCCAAAGTCTAAGTCTGACTCTGCCAAATAATTATTTGAACTAAATGGAAGCTAAATGGAAATCGCGACACGACGCGACCACGTAACTGGACTTACTGAGTCAGTCCCGTTTCCTCCTGATGGATCTGACTCGAGAGGAAGATGACCGACGCCTCCGAACCAGTCCTCCACACCCTGCACCCCGTTGGGAGCCACTATAGGACCCGACTTGCACCCGTCTCACTGCGCTTTGGACTTACTGCACTGCGCCGGGAGCCTTGGACTACACTAAACGTGATGCAGGAAGTAGAGAACCGATCCGGAGGAACCGATTGTCGTCCTCTCGAATCAGATCCACCAGGAGGACGGCAACCGACCTTTCTGTCCAGTTACACAGTTGATCACTACACTTATCACATCAAGTAATAGTGACCGAAATGGAAAACGAAGTTGCGAGTCCAATATGGACCTACGAACAAACAAAAGAATTGAAGAAATGATTAATAATTGTTTGGTAAAGGACAGACTCTCGTACACGCATGCCTTAAAACTAACTTAACCATGTCCTAAAACTAACCAAACCAAACTAAGCTATCCACAACCAATAGGACGGACGCGAAACGCGGACGCGCGATCGCGAGATCCATATCGACCGATGGATCGTCGAAGAATGACCTCTCGCCCCTCGTATACCTGTGTCGAGAGTCGCCGCTCGCTCGTGCCTCTCGAAGTAGAGAAGGGGAAGGGCGAACAACAACCCCGTGACGCTCGATTGCTCATCGAATCTTTCGAGAAAATAATTCGTGAAACATTAATATCACAGCAACATCATATTCCCCATCATTGTTTAAATAATAAGTACTGTTAGTAATTAATTTAACTGTTGTCGGAAATTAATATTTAGTTGATCCAATCGATAGATATTAAAATATTGACCAATATCGCACGAGTAATATCTCGAATAAATATTTATTCTAAACCGTAATTGTTATTAATATTTAATCGAAAACGATTATTCTACATACCCTTCTTTACATCCGGAAAAAAAGCTGATTAAAAAATTCGGAACACACTTCGCGATGTCCCCTCGTAAGAGGTAATAAAATTCATAGAATTCACTAAAGTCCCCAAGATGGTGTCAATGTTACATAATAATTAAAGAGAAAGGATTTCTTATTTAAAACTCAAGTTCTCTTAAATTAAATTCGTACATCTTTACAAGTAAAGATTTAAACGCGCAATCAAGAGGCCACAAAATATTTATACAACCAAACCACACAGTTTCCTAACATCTCAAGCAACCGGCAAAGTAGAACAAAGCGCATCAACGGAAAAGACTCGAACTGATTTGCCACCAGTTCTTAGCGAGACGTCGCCACAGCAACGCGGGTAAACTCCAGATCCAGAAGCAAAAGAAATCCCGTCCCTTTCGAGTGCGAATGAAGCATGCAAGTTTCCGTCTCGATGCAAATTACAGTGAAACGCGAGAAGCAGCGTTCCGCTCTCCGTGCTAAGATTTTCTCTCGATGACGCCGTGGGAATCGTTTAAATTGGACAACGAGGGGGAATGGGATAAAGGGCGAAGGCAAGCGTTGCGACGCCAGAACAGGGAAACAAGGAGAAACGGGAAAGAAGCACTCAGGTATTCAGCGTGAGATCGAGGAAATTGGCTACGTTCCTGGTACTTTTGTGAACTACGGTGACGCGGGGGTTCGCATTGGGAATCCGTCTAAGCGTAGCGGCGAAATGAAGCTACCACGATAGAAACTGGAAAGAGTGGAGGGAAGTTGATTTCGGCTGATTCAACCCTCTGTGTGCCCCCTTTGGGTCACCTACCTCTTGTCCACGTTTTTCAAGATTAATTTAAGGATTTAAATACACTGGATCGACAGGACCATCTTAAACGCTCGAGTTACAGGAAACACTGGGTATACTAATTTTTGAAATTTTAAAGACAATGACAAGGCTGTTGGAATATTTACAATCTTACAAGTAAGGGACTTTCTAGTAGGAGTTTTAGGATCTTGTTTCTTAATGAAACATCGAGGGTATAGAAAGTAGATCTAATACTTTTATTTTATTTTATTTTATTTTTTTTATTGTTTGAAATCTCATAGGAGATTTATTACAAAATTGACAAATAGTCGATTACGATATGTAACAAAAATTTCAATTACAAAATGATACATTAATTTGTTAATCAATATAGTAGTACACAGGATTAGTAAATTTAAATTAAATTAAGATTTAAATAAATACTTTTATTTTAAATGAAAGTACACATAATTATAATTAAACGTGAAAATTGGAATTTTAAGTAAAAGATTTTCCAATAGAAGCCTTAGGATTTTATTTTTTAATGAAACATGAATGGTGTGGAATATTCCAAATTTTTTTATTTTACAACACTACTATTTTGTTATTAAAAGAAATCCTAAAGCCCCTTTTAAGAAACCTATGCGTATGAATTAAATATAAAACACATTTCACTCATAATTATCAGAAATAATACAATACAAGAGACCATACAATTAATTGACTAATTTGTTGGCTAAGTCGTTTGTTCGGCAATCTTCTGATCAGTATCATAGTCTCCACGAGTGGACGCCAAGTCCAGTCCTGAAAGTATTTTCCTCCACTGTAAATTACCTCAAAGAATGTTCACAAAGAACCGCGTTTCACGGTTTTCTGTTTTCGCGACGGATCCCAAACACGCATTCAACCTGGGTTAAAGGGAGAGCTGGCTAGAATGGTCAGCGAAGAGTAAAATACCTTGCTCGGCCAATTCGCGCAGGACCGTACGATGATTTCGACGTACATCAAAGCGAACAGCGAAGAGCACTCGTCTTCGAACCGAGCTTTTCATCGTTAATATACGGATTGCACGAATGAGGGAACGAAACGCGATCCATCGATAGGAAAATAAGCGTCGTCGTTCATTTTACTCGACGGATTGTAATTGTTAAATTGACCTCGGTCGGGAAAGGATATCGCCTGCTGGTTAGGTGAATCAATACTCGATGTTATCAATAATCAATATTGTTGTAGGTCGTAGCTCTCTCCTCGGGTTACCTCTGTGGCTCTCATGATTGCTGTTTGTTGGTGAAAATAATGGCAGACGTGGTACGATATTGCGGAGAGTGATGAAGCAAAATATAATTTATAGAATCCTATTAATCAAAGCATAAAATGAAGTTGCTACCAAGTGGCGCGTGAAGTAAAATTGATTGGGGAGGTTTAGAAATTAGTACTCGTCAAATTCACTCTAACGAAGGAACTACTGTATGTTATTTTTTTCTTCCTTAGAAAGTACACTTTCCAAGAAACTTTTCATAGATTCAGCCGAAAGTTATCCGTCTTTTAGAATAACCATTTTCAAGGAAAATTTGATACGTTTATTTTTCA